AGAAGAGAGAAGAGAGAAGTGAAAATAGGTACGTACACCAGCTGGAATCTCCCAGTCCTTATACATCATACTCTCATAAGGAGAAATACGAGGAAGACGAGTAGTGATACCATAAGAAAGTCTATTTCTCAATTAATATGCATATGCACATTAGAACAAAATCTTCTAAGAAAAAAACAAGAATATACATACCTCAAACCCTCATTAGCAACAGCATTCAAAAAAGGAAGTCCTTCAAGATCTTTCAAACAGGCTCTTGCATCTCTATCCGGCATGGCTTGTTTTAATTCATCTCTCAGGGTCTTTAGAAGATGTGGGTTATCTAGGAGATGGAAATGCGTGTTCTGTGAAGAGCTAGAAATTAGTCTTTTCCATCAATCTGATTACAAGATATATTTGAGAAGAGAAGGAGTGTGAATTTGAAATGTGGGTACTCGTACCGTAAGCATATTAGATACGGTATCCGAGCCAGCACCAATAATAGCAAAGGCCTCTTCGAATAGCCTTTGGAAAGATTTTTCGGAGGGAGGAATTTCATCCGATTCAATGATTGCACAAACGATGGTCTCTTGAAGTCCATTGCCCTTGTCGGGATCGAATTTATAATTACCAATCATGATGTTTTTGGTGTCGACTTCGATTGCCTACAGATAGATGTAAGCTATATTAGTTATCTCTTCCATCTTTCATGTAGCGATATGAAGGATCTCACTAACCTTGCGAAAGTCCATGAGTAATAGGAAACCCGGGTTGGTGATCTTTAGGAACCATCGAGGGAGGGATAGAGCGATGGGTAGAATGATGGGGAATTGTGCTAGGAGATGGCCCATTTTGACGGTTGCGGCTATCGTTTCTACCCAGAGGGGTGAGAAGTTGGGGGAATCAAGATGGTTCCAGGAGCGATTTAGTGCGTACTGTGTGATACGAGGTTAGTTAGATGAGTGGTTCGGATTATGAAAGTGGCCATGAGAAAACACAAGGATCAATACTTGTATGTGTAGGCGATAATAGAAGCCAGCAAAAAGAATCCATCACAAACCAAAGTAATAACATCAGTGATAAAACATTGATAAACTATCCTCATATTCAACCTCTCACCCTTCTCCCTAAACTCCTCAATTCTACCACACAGCTTATCAAGCATATCAAGCAACATCGGTTCCAATCTCGCAACCGTTTGCTTAGAAAGGTACTTGTTGAGTGAAGCTCGACGTTGCCGATGAAGTTTGTGATCAACACTTCCAAATGCCGAGGAGGGAAGTTGAAATCGGTCGAGGAAGGACTTTTCCTTGTGACGGACTTTGTGTTGGGAATAGAGTTCTTCATAGAAGGCGGGATCGTAAACGTGTAGTTGGTGGGGGGAGATACGGATGATGGGGCCTGGATGGATTAGTAGGTACTTTGTGTGGATTTTATGTTAAGAATGAGTTTGGTCAGAAATCACAAGATCTTAGCGATAGAGAGGTAGAGAGGAAGAATCATGATAGAGGAATGAATAATGCAGAATCCAAAAAGGTCATGAGATCAAGGAGATATGTCAAAATAAAAATGAGAGGACATGATGCTCATGACCTCGGAAAAGGCAAAAGATAGCAGCAAACCCTGAACTCAAAATAAAACAAATCGCAGGAAATCCAAGAACACATACCATAAACCTTATGCAACTCTCTGATCTTAAAACTAAACTGTCCCTCAAGCCAAACGTCATAGTAGAATTCATACCTAGCATCAACACATGCATTAGTCAACCGAATCATGATTTTCCTCCCCCCCCCAACTCCTTTTCCCCCTCCCCTTCCTATACGAAGATTCTCCAGTATCGGAAAATAGCCAAGTAATACTACATACCAAAGACTCGCCGCCGCCAATTTCGGACCCGGAAACTTAGTCAGCGGTGACAAGTAAAGTCGATAGATCACCAGCGCAATCTGATATGCCACAAACGAAGTGACGAGAATCATGATGGAATGATCCATCAAAGGAGTGAGAATCCCCATGGTTTGATTATATAAAGTATTTTTCGTGTCCGTATGATCTACTTCTAGAGAAGATATTGTGGAGGAAGTTCTTGTACCTAGAGGTAGAGGGGAATTTGAAACTGTGGGTCTTATAGAGAAGAGAAGATTGATACAGCCCACAATGCAAGAGGAAGCGCTGTGAATGTAATATGGCCAAGGCATCGTGATTAGATCCATATCGATGAGATGAGATGAACTTTCGTTAATCACCTTCTTGTTCCAATCACCGAGGTATCAATAAATTTGGAATTTCAAATTTGAATGAACTACATTTGATTTGCTCATATAAAGGACCTTTGAACTACATGACCCAATTAGAGCGTTTGTCTGTACACGTATCTCATTACTTTTGGACCGAAAGTGAAGATAGTAATGATTTGAACAGACAATGTGAATGTTGAGAGGTCAATAATAGAGAATGAACGAATAGAAGTGAGTAGAAATGAATATAAAATTGAGACTCAATCAGAGGATGAAACCATAACATGTACGGATACATATATATATGATTACCGAGACTCTTCCTCGTCCACCGACACGGCGCAAACCAAACCTACCCTAGATGCATTCGATTCGAGTAGAAAGGAAGTCTCCTATCGTGAATCGTGATTGTGCATCCAATACCACCCTACCATCCCCTTTTGGCCATCAGCCACAACCATTAGCACGAGTCCCCATCCACTCACCCATACCAGTAAAGCTTCGTAGCACGATTGTAAATTTTCCGTGCCTGCGGTACCCCCTTGGCGTTGTCCCGAGGAACCTCTTCTCCAAAGTCGGTAATGCAGGTTTGAGCTTCATGATACATGCACCCACCAAGCCACGATAACGTACGTTCAAGCCACGAAGCCACTTCCGACTCGTGATGCCTCTTCACATGTTGTCTAACTGTATTGGGAGGATTCGGAGGAGCAAGGAGGACAACGATCTTGCTTGCATGGAACGGTGTGTAAATGATGTGTGTGTGAAGCGGAGGAAGATTCGAATTACGGGTCTAAATAGGAGATAGGAAATAGGAAATCGGGCTACGGACCCCTTTTCTGCCCGACTAGGGAAATAACTAACGCTGGTATATAGTACACCTCATGTCATTGATTGGATCAAGTGAGGTACCACAGTACATTCCATATTATTGAAGAATACGAGGCGTTCAAACCTACCAAAGCATCCAACTGATTGACATAGGTTTCAGAATTGGGCTCATTCCAATAATCCCGAAAACGAACATGATATTCGGCCGACCGGAAGAAGGGAATTATTATGAGTGCAGTGCAGTACTAGGTATACCCAATGCCATCGTTCCCAGTAAAGTTAGTCCACGTTCCACGACATCGGACCGGATTCACCACGTGCGTACATAAAAGTTATGAATCTCGATCCAATCCAATATGTCCAGACTCCAGAGATTTCGTTTTGTCTGTCTAGCAAAGGCTGCAGAGCATGTCGAGACTGCAAGTGTTGAGCTGGGATTGCGAGTACATATATAAGATACGGCTTTCCGAATTTATGGTAGCTTTATGACTACATACATGTAGTCTGGATATCGGTGGATAATGCTAATAGTCCTGACAGTGCACCTGATATATATGAAAGACTGCGAGGGTATTTGACAAATGGAGCTATGCTCGTATATACATCGCCAACTTGTTGGTTCTTGGTTCTTGGTTCTATATCACTTCATGTATATAATTGAATAACGAACAGAGCGCTCAGGAAAATGCCATAAATTGCGTCAGGGGTAGAGTAGATGTATCAGTAAAAGGGAAATAATCAGCTTTTATTGATAGATACCCTACTATGCTTCACGGTAAAATAACTCCCTATGATACATTACATGTGGGCCTAATATCCATACCCGTATATGGCTCCAAGATACCGTTTACCTTTACCTTTACCTTTACCTTGACCTTCTTATATGTTCCTCTGCTCAAGGATTAAGGATTGTAATTATTCATGACGGCCCAGAAACTATCTTGTCCTAAATCTCCTTCAAACTGCCATGGCTCAGGTTGCGCATACATATTTGCCTCTTGATATCCCGAATATTGCAAATCGTAATTGGTGCCAAGGTTGGTGCTCAGGTCATTGAAGATAAGATCATGCATCGGTTGTAAGGGTGCGATTGAGGATAGATCAAAATTGTGCGGCATCATATTATTAGCTCCAGTGAACTCCCAAGCGGCGGTGGAATTTGGATTGGGTGAAGTCAAGTTGTGTATGGTCGGAAGATTGTAATGACTTCCATTGACGGAATTGGCAGATGAGATGGTAGATGGATCTGTAGACGATGCGGGTGAATTGTAGGATTGAGATGCGGATGTGGAGGTAACAGATCGTGCGACTTGTGAGCTAGCAACGGTTGACGATGGGTTGGATCCGATATCTGACGGGGTTGATGGTTGAGGTTTGGTTCCTAAAGCTTTCTTTAAACGAATGTTTATTGCTTTGAGTACACCGGCCGCCGTATCTGCGATTGCATTGCGACCGATCATGGTATGAAATCTTTCCATAGCCCAATCGTAATGTTGTAGGGTGCTGTCAAGGAGATCCCTATTTTCGAAAGGATGTAAAATGTAGATGGCGGCTGAGAGAATGATGGCATCGAATGTATTGAGGACAAGGTTGAACATTTTGTAATGTTTGGTCTGTAGCAAACCAAAGTATTCACGCTGCACACGTAGAATGTTGAGACCGGCTTCAAGGGCCGAACGGCGACTCGAAACTGATGTACAGATATACGGTCTATGAAGAGCCATGGTTGTGAATGCACCGCCATTTTGAAAGATCAACCTGCAAGGGGGAAGCCAGTAACAATCAGGATGCGAGTCCCAAGTCGTATCGGGAGTTTCAGCTCGGAAGTAGGGCGGGCATAGTTCATGAATCTGCTTGATGTTCATGTGCATTTTTTGCACTTTGAGTGCATCACTAGGTTGTGGTCCAGCTTTCTCGAGGTAATATATATCCCAAAGTGGCGCCATAACCTCGACATACCATAACAGCATCGTCAGAGGTGTGGGCATATCTGTAGGCGACCGTTCCACAGGAGGAGTCTTGCGTCGATCTTCAATGGTCGCTGGTATGGGAGCGTCGATGGGAAAAGGTGGCCTTGGATCACGCATATCTATCGTCGTGGGTCGACCAAGAACTAATGCCATATGTACATCCCATAACGCAAGTACAAGCCAAGTTCTCCTTCGAAGTTGTTGGTGCCATAAATGCTCAAATCCATCTTCGGGCTTGTGATATTGGGTTTGGTAGTTGTCCTTGTGCAATTCAATCTCTTGAGCATCTTTGATTGTTTGGGATAAAGCATGCCAGCTTTCGGGAACCATGCCACTATATTTCAGATATGATGATCTGACGAATCCGGCTTGAACTGTCACAAGAGTAGTATTGCGTTTGCCTAGTAATGTCAGGATGCTTACTCCCGAATCGCTGTAATCGGCCGCAAGATCGTCAAAAGACATTCCTGCTGCATATTTGAGAGATTCCAGACTTGGATCGTGTTCTGGTGGTTGAAAGAGTAACGCCATAGCCAGACATTGGAACAGGAGAGCGGGAAAGAATTGGAGATCTGCAGGGAGTTCCTGTGGTCCTTTATTCAGAGTTGCGAAAGATAAGTTGTTCCAGTTTCTGAGGTGATCCCGGAACGTTCCCTCATCTAATGCGTAATATTGAAAGTTGACCTCGTGGAAAAAGGTCTTTAGAAGCATATCAATATATGGTCGAGACGGAAGTTGTCGTATCAAACTTTTGTATTTCTCGCGGAGTCCACTGTTCTCTGCTGTTGATACGCAATGAGATGTCACAGCCGCTCCATCATTGACCTCGGCCTCAATCTTCTTGAAAATTCCCAGTGTGGTATTGGAATGGCTCCCATTTGATTTTGCATATCCTAGAGCACTAACTTTTGCGACGGAATCAGACTCCAGCTGTGCGCCTTTGCCATATTCTCCATTCTCGGATGATCGTAAGTCGTCTAATAGTTGTTGTTTCCTCGCAGATTCATTCTCGTATTGACAGACATCTTGTTTATTACGATTGACACAATTCGAACATGGAAATTGACGGTCGCACTAGAAATGGTATCAGACTTCTAAACCTTCAATGGTAATGAGAATGAAAAGAAAAACCTTTTGTTTGCGCCTATGACACTCGGTGCATGATATCACAACTCTCTTCCTCTTCTTTGGGGGTCTCTGTAGAGCATCTGTTCTTGTAGTAGTCTCTGGCTCCGATGTTGTGTTATTCCTTACTGCGGCAGCTTGTAGATTGTGGTTGGAAGGCATATTATCGAGATTGAGGCTCGAGTAAAACTCGTCGCATGCGGCTTGAGGATCAGGATCAGGCTTCATGTTGTCCGAAGGTTCAGTCATTTGCATAATGAAGTTGAAAAAATGGTCTTCGAAGAATGTTCCTTTGCGCCACTGGCAATATCGATTGATTATGCAGATTATGGCAAGCCGCGTTTAATTTTGACTTGACAGAGTACTTGAACAGCCCTACCGGTACTTTAATTCGTCGTGGGTGGTAATTTGGATATCGGTTGTGTCAGTTGTATCGATTGTGTTGAGTCGCAGAAGGTCGGTTCTTGTGGAGGAGTTATTGGTTATCTTCTCAGTATCGATCAATAAGGCTTATGTCGTCGCACTGTATACAGTAACAGTATGTATGTATGTATGTATGTACCCTTCCTTCACTCGATGGATGCCAATCGAATCCTTGTACTCGAGTAGATCTATTTAAGATAGTACAGATCCTTTCGGGCTTAAGAAATCAAGTTTTATTGATGCAAACGCCGTATGTGGCAAGGAGGGGAAGGAGGGAGGGGGAAAAGGGAAGGGAAGGGGAAGGCGGACAGGATGGGATGCAGGTGATGAAAGATGATTTAATTGCCTCAGGCCAAAAGTTGTCAATGTCAGCATGAAGTAATAGAAAATTGAATTTTATTGATCAATTCATTCTTCCAATTCAATTACACCGCCGCCAGTACATCCTAATTCGTTCGAGAATATTCTGATTTATTTACCGGTACCCTTAAAAATGGGATTATCCGTCGTAGGTAGTTTTTAACTTCCCGAGTTGCAGCAGCATGAGTACTAGGTAAGGTTCACGATAATCATAAAAACTCTAAGAGAGATAGTAGCAGGCTTCAGATCATTTTCAAGCACACCACTTATTATTATAAATCACTGCCATTCACCATCACCGGCATCCACGTGACCCATTACCTACTTGATGAGCGTATATATGATATAGAATGAGGGGGGGGGAAAACTATCAAGTTATCTTATCCGTCAATCACTAACTCCATCTGTACTGTACCTGTACTAGCCTTGTGCCAACCTAATTATGGGACTCCTAGTCTAGATCGAAGGCTTAATCTAGCACTAACAAAATTCGGATCTATTTACAATAATACCAGTAGTAATGACATTTTAAACATGACACGTGCACCTTATATATTACAAAAAGGGTCATCCGGTTAAGATAGGTTTATATATATAAATACTGGTAGTACTGTATCAAATCCTCATATTCACGCCTCTTAGTTAAATTTCCATGTAATATGACGTAGGTGTCGATCCTTATTTTTTTTCTAATTCCAGACCATAAACTTGAATACCGGTGCATATACCTTTAACCAGATTCCGATAAATATTTACTTTCTTTTACTACCGGTATCTCTTTTTATAATTCATCCAATAAATTATACAATCAAAATCCAATTTTATCCTCATAGGGCTAGACTTATTTAGATCTCTAATCTTCCATCGGGTCTGTCTTCAAACTTGTACCTATATACCCATACCCAATACTATACCTATACCTATTTTGTGTTCAACAACTTTTCAATTCCACAGTAGTATCACTAGCCACAAGTCATCTACTAATTTATCACTACTACTTACTTACTCTTACTTCAAAGCATTGCAGAGTTGTTTGTTTCATCTATGGCATCAAATCATATTGAGTACTGGTGAAGGGGTTGGTTTGACTTTGACTAATGCATACAAACACTCCGAACCATGTCAGTACATACCATATTCCATACTACATGCTCCATACTCCTTGTATCTTTTCAATTAACTTTTTCCCTCTCAATCTACCTTCACAAGAATCAAATACTATATATAAATACTAATTATTACATTCATCAACCAGATCTTCTTTTCCTCGACAATCTATACCTATAGAAACGATCATTAAATTCCTTTTCTTCCTCATCTCACTTGATCAGACACTTAACATTTATTTCTGGCTGGCTAGCCAGGAAAGGAGTAGATGGCGCAGATATCACCAACAATTGCGCTTTCGCATGTTGAGGGGATTTCAGATGCAGCAAGAGCTAGAGAATTATACAAGTATGTCTGTTTATTACTCTGCATTGGTTGCACAGGTCGCATAGAAGGGAACAAGAGATGTCTCTCTCAAAGACAGGTCTGGGGGGCGGGGGTTTACCATTAATTCATTTTGTACTACAAGTCCAAGAGAATGTCACTGATCTCCATTCCTTTTTAGGTACTACCAGCCTACTACTTCCATAAATACCGAATCATGTTTTTCAGGACCTCGAACATCTACAGCAAGCAGCTTTCATGACCCAGGAGTTCAATCTGACATAACCTCAACCAAAATCTCCTCACCAGATACATCCTTGACCGCATTTTGCCAGCTTGTATCTTGGAGGTTAGAAGCGCAAAGAGCAATGATCAGGTAAGTTAAAGAACATGTTTTGCTTACTTCAAATCTAACAGATTCTTCTAGTCTTATCGATGAGGGCACACAGTATTTTATCGCAGAAAGCACCAAATCACTGGATCTTGTGGATGCAACAAAGCATAAACCAGGTGATGAGTTGTGGCTAGGCTGTACTTCTGTGTCAAAGGCTGGTAGATTGTGTGAGAGGTATGACAAAAAATCAGAAATGGAAAATAAAGTTAAGTTATCGACTTTGTTTAATCTTTGTTACAGGACTATCGAAACTACTCCAACGGCATTGGGAGAGGACTATCCTTCATTCATTGTGAATGATTTAACATTAGATGATCGCTTCAACCAACTTCCTTTTGTCACAGAAGAACCTTACCTCAAATTTTATGCAGGTGTTCCACTTATCACCAAGCGAGGCATAGCGATCGGAAGTTTGTTTATTGTTGATAGTCATCCTCGATCAGGACTATCGAGGGATGCAATATCTTTCATGGGCACAATGGCTCGTACCGTCATGAAACATCTAGAGTTGACTCGAGAAGTGGAGGAACACCGGCGTGGCATGAAAATGAGTCGAGGTCTTGCATCATTTGTTGAAGGTCGCGCAGAACTTGAAGAGGCAGACATGGAGGCTGAAGATGGAGAAGGTACAAAAATTGTTGGCCAGTTTGAATCAGACACCGGCATCAGACGACAAAAGTCAAAATCCTCATCAACAAAAGGTTCAGGAATGTCGGCCAACATCTCACTTTCCTCTAGTAACAGCAAGGAAATGGTGTGCATGAGCTCAACTTCACTGGCCTACAAAAGGACAGATGAGGCAAATGTAGCACCTTTCAATCGATCAGGCTCAACGGGCAGTGGACGACCAGGGATCGAGTCCATTCTACAACATTCTTCTTTTGGAGAAACGACCACCACTGAGCAATCACCCTTTGATATGTGCAAAACTGATACCCCTGACGAGGAATTTACCGAGGCATCTGCTCTAAAGTTTTTATTTTCTCGCGCTTCCAACCTTATTAGAGAGGCATTCGAGGTGGACGGTGGAGCAGTATTCTATGATGCACAGAAAGGGTTCAATAGTGATGTGATGCAAGCCACTAGTCTAGACTCATCTGTTACTGATAGCCAGACAACTAGTGACGATGACTTTCAAGCCAAACCAAATGCTCGATCCTCGATCTCTCGACCACCTGGTGCTGGGGAAAGAACTTTCACTCGGTCTTCGACAATGTCATCAACCCGGGAAATTGAAATTTTAGGATTTTCTACCCCCGAGGCATCTTCTATTAATGGTGATGCATACCCAGGGACTCACTCCTTCTTGCCATTTGAAGAACAATCATTACATAACTTCTTGCGCCGATATCCACGCGGAAAGCTATGGACTTTTGACTCTGATGGATCTATTTCTTCAGCCTCGGATGATGAGATTCTCAAAGATCATCGACGTTCTGTAAGACGAGACAAACCCCAGGCACGGGGAAGAAACAAAACGGCCAGGGCAGAAACAGATGGAAGATTTTTGTCGAATCATTTCCCTGGTGTTCGCCAGTTGTTATTTGTTCCACTTTGGGATGCTGGTCGATCTCGTTGGCTTAGTGCATGCTGTGTTTGGTCAACAGAGCCCACCCGTATTCTATCTAAGCAGAGCGAACTATCGTTTCTTAGTGCGTTTGGCAATACTGTCATGGCTGAATGTTCTCGCATAAGTACTGAAGTTGCTGATCAGAAAAAAAGTGACTTTATTGGAAGCATTTCCCGTGAGTATAGCTCGTGTTTTATTATATCATGACGTCGCTAACGTTCGCAAAGACGAATTGAGAAGTCCGCTCCACGGCATACTAGCCTCTGCTGAGATATTGGGTGATCTTGCATTACCGAATCTAGCACAAGAACTTGTCGAGACGATTGATAGCTGTGGCCGCACACTTCTAGATACCATTGTGAGTTTTTCTTGACCATCTACTTGATACCGAGGGGTTTACTCCCAGATTCGTCTCTCTCCCGGCTCCCGACTGTCTATGGAGTATGGCTGACAGCTTCTCATAGAATCATATTCTAGACTTTTCCAAAATTAGTAGTCTTGAGAAGAATTGGCATAGAAATCGTCGAGGTACGGCAAAACGGATATCACAATCCAGTAGTGCTGGTCCCGTGGCTTTACCACAATCTGATTTACCCATGATAAATTTGTTTGCGCCTGTGGATGTAGCTGTACTCTGCGAAGAGGTAGTAGAAAGTGTTTTCGCTGGTTATGTTTTTCAGAATGTCACGGCGAAGACGTTCGACATGGTTCATGACTTACATGACAAAAGCTCCGACTCGAAAGGGCATTCAGCATCGTCGCTCGCCATGCCACCTGCCGCAAATCAATCTCCACAGGTATCGGTCGTCTTAGACATTGCCCTAGATGACTACCAATTCACCACGCAACCTGGAGCGTTCCGAAGAATTATCATGAACCTGCTTGGGAACGCTTTGAAGTATACATCACACGGTTATGTACGAGTCAAGTTGGAAACTTCCCAACTAGAGGATCTAAATACTTCTGGCGGCGAGCGAACCCCGAGATCTATGATAATCTTGACAGTGACAGATACCGGCAAGGGTATATCTAGCGATTTCCTTCGATCAAAGCTTTTTACCCCCTTCGCCCAGGAGAATACACTTTCGAGTGGAACCGGTCTTGGACTCTCAATTGTGAGAAGCATTATCAACTTACTCGAGGGAGATATCACGATCGATAGTGAGCTTGGGCGCGGGACTGGTAAGTCAACTCTGGGGTTTCCAGCTACGTACGTGTATCATGTTGATTCGGTGCTAATTTGTTCCTTCTTCCAGAGGTCAGAGTAACTTTGCCACTTCTTCGCGGAATACCAAAAGATGCATCAACTCCAGCCACGCCGAAAGCTATAACCTCGTTGTTACGCGAGACGGACGAATCTATATCGATATTGCGAAGTCTAACCAGTGGCCGTGAAGTTGGTCTCTTTAATTTTAGCCCTCCTAATATGGACCCCGTACTTGCGAAGAAGGGCAAACTTCTCGAAGCATCCGTCAGGAACTTTCTCGTCAATTGGTATGGTCTAAAAGTCGTGCCATTATCGGAGAACCCAGATATTATTCTAGCGAATGCTCCGGATCTATCTGTCCTCATGAACCTTCGCAAGAAGCTTTCTCGGCAAAATAAACCATCGATCCTGGTTCTGTCACCACACTCTTCGCGCTTCCACCACTCGTTTGTTGAAGCTGGCATCAAAGGCAATGTTACCGTGGTAGCAAAACCAGTTGGTCCTTTAAAACTTGCAAGAGCTCTTCGATCGTGTCTCGACGGTTCAACGTCTGCAAGTGGTATGGCTACCACGCCGGATCCCTCTTCCAACGGACAAGCGAGCACTAATGACCTTAGTAACGTCTTTGAGGATCTGCTCCTATCTCCTCATGGAGGCGAAGTGTTAGATAATAGTCGGATGGCCGCTGATAGCGCGAATGCGCGGAAAGCTATCGAATCACCAACTCCGAATGCGCTCCTTGAGAAAGGAAAAGAATTTCCCTTTCCATCACCCTTCATGAGTAAGATCTCTCCTCCACGCACGGAGCTTTCCTCGGATGACAACCTTGCCACTCCCACAGCGTCGACCTTTGATTTCGCCTCTCAACTTAATTCAGGAGCTGCTAATGCGACGAGTCAACCATCTGCTCCTCCGACCGCGACAGCAAGCACACATCAATCATCAACGGCCACCGCGATGCCCGACCCATTCGCCCCCAACTTACTTCTTGTAGACGACAATATGATAAATCTCAAACTACTGCGCCACTACATTACCAGATTAGGGTACACGACCGTTCACGAAGCGGAGAATGGGCTTGAAGCAGTCAAGAAAGTTGAGGAGCGACCAGAGGGATACGACATCATTTTTATGGATATAAGTATGCCAGTTCTGGATGGATTTGATGCTACGAGGGAGATAAGAAAATTGGAAAAATCAAGACAGTCGAGAGCGATGGCAAATGACGAGGTTCCCGGGGGTAGGAGAAAGAATGAAGCACTTGTGGTTGCGCTTACGGGATTGGCGGGTAAAGATGATGTGGAGAAAGCGAGGGCTTGTGGTATTGATCTGTTCATGACAAAACCGGTGGCTATGAAGGAGGTGAGGAAGATGTTGGAGAATTGGAGGGCAAATCAGAAGGATTGAAGCGGGGAGTCAGAAGTGATTGACAGAGGGGGTGAAGGCATGACAGAGCGATGAGACGAGGATGTATGGGGGGTAGGGAATTGCATTGGGAGGCGTTGGGAAACATCAAAAGAATGGGACATTGCCATTTAGGATTTGTAACAACAGAAGCGCACGAGGGATAGAATGGTGACTTGGCGTGGCGTTTATTTTCCAGCTTTGAGACGGAAGGGCATGTTATACCCGGCGGGAATGGCAATTTTTCATTTAGATACCAAGGCTTGAATGGGTGAACTGGTTTGGGATGAAAGTGGAGGAGGGGATTTGGGACTTGGGGGGTGCGGAAGCGAAGGATAAAAATATGTTGGATGAATTCATGAGAGATAGTATACCCAGGGATTAAGGATGTGATGGACGGACGAATGGATGATGGATGATGGATGAGGGATGAGATTAATGGATGAATAGATAGATTTTTATTGTATGAAATATGAAATACTCAGTAATGAGTATACAAATACAAATACCCGATGAATATAATATACGAGTACTGTATATGAAATGATATAAATGTTGGAGTGATGTGATCTGTGATTGTGTTATTGGTGAAAATTAAGATGAGAAGCAAGTCAGTATCTGTGGTATCCTATTGACAGTATCGTATTGTATTGATAGCTACTCTAGTAATGCTAATGCTAATATTGGAAAAGAATGAATGCGGATATGTAATTGACTTTTAGATTTTGGTTTATTGGGTTGGTAAGAAACCTCATGATGCTCAATGGCCAATCGCATATTAGGTTTCCCTTTCTTATTCTCCCCCCAAAACCAAAATATCATTCCCTTGAGGCAATGTTATTTTCTAGCTGGTCCCTCCCATTTTCTTTCGTTCATCTATCATGCTATCACATCTCATATCTAAACACCCAGCTCAACTCAACTCATCTCATCTCATCTCATCCCCCCATAACCACCCACCTAAGAAACTGTAATAGCCGCCTCCCCACTACTCTGATACCCCTCCGTCGCCACAATCTGATAATTGAAGTCGTTCCCCAACTCCAACCCCAACTTCTTCCACGCCGCAAAATGATTTGCCGTCGTCACCGTTCCACTCTTCCGCTTACTCGTCCGCACAGACCAGTATTGTTTAAAGGTCGCCGTGCCCTGCACCGATGGCTGATTGGTGCGAGTTGTTTCCAAAATCTTGTATGTGGAGCCGTCGGAGGTGACGGTGCCTATTTCGGTGGCGGCGGACGAAGGGTCGTAGGTGCCGAAGTCTTCTACGATGTAGTATTCGATGAGGGGGGAGGTGGTCCAACCGTAGATGGAGAGGTACGAGTTGCCGTTGGGCGTGTAGGAGCCGGTGAAGGTTATATCGCTGGGGTTTATGTTAGTTTTTGCTTTTGGGAGAGAAATGGTGGTTTGGATGGATAGGTAGGGGAAGAAACTTTACCGTTCAGCACCGACAGCCCATCCCTTACCAGCGACAAAGTTGCCCTTGTTTCCAGTCCAATTAACGGCATATTCACCACCAGCTCCGTTAGAGTACGTGACAGAACCGCTTCCATCAGTCCAGAAGGAGTAGTAATAACCACCGCTAGTACCGGTCGCGGAGGAAGTCAACGATCTACGCTCCAAGAAGTTTAGATTGTCGCTGACAGGTGCTGCAGCCGGTGCTGAGAAAACTCCAGCGACAGCAGAAGCTGCGAGGAGGAGGGTTTTGGCTGAGACCATTTTGATAAGTGGGATGGATTTATTTGACTTGAAAGAGTGAAGTTAAAGTTGGTTATCCTCCTCTAGATCTTAGAGCGCAGATCCAAGTTATATATCACGTCCGCTTACAATTCCATCCCCTTCAATCACATCACGATTGAGGGATATAGAAACCAAACTTTAAACCGCATTACCTTCATTTCCCCATTCGATTTAGGCAAATACCCTTGACTACCCTTGATATTTGCCATTTGTAAAGCCGCTGGCTGGTCCCGTCTCCAATTCATTAAAAGCTTCATGGATATTCTCCGCAATGGGATTTGGTATCCGATATTGAATCCACTGGAGCTCTATACAAAACGAATCAATTTTGCGTTTCAATATAAATCCTTGGGATGGACCCATATTTACATCGGATATATGCAGAATAAGAGCAAGGGACTACCCCAGCACGACTACCCCGCGTGCTTAAGACTTCTTAAAACACAGGCAATATCGGGATAAATAGAGTTGAAATTGGAAAGGGGAATATATGTCATGCTATGAAGCGGTAGAAGTAGATGTACCGGTATGGGCTGATCGTATTGGATAGAATCAACCCAAAAATTCAAATCTGGTAACAAATCGATCGATTAAGAATCTTGACATAGAACAGGACCGCTACCAACACAAGGTTCCACAAAGTTAAAGTAGGGGACTCTGAACGAGAGTGGGGTGAGTGCGCACCAAAAACATACAACCCGGTACATCATGCTCGTATAATTCCTGAAGAATATTGCATTATTGATTAGGGTTATATGCTCCACAGAAAGTTTCACATTAATGATCGTCATGTCATCTAGAAAGGGCCTTCGGTACCACAACATCAAAGATGCCGAGATTCCCGGATAAATCCGGATAAACAACTCGACTAGTGCTTTCTTCCGTGAACCCGGCATTCATTGGCGAGGGGCATAAAGGTATGTACAGTTAATGAATACTGTATCTTCATTCAATGAACTACCGGTACAAATTTGATTAACCGAATGTGAGAAGTACTTTGCGAGGAGATTATCAGATTATGATACCGGTATGTAGAGGTTTTATCTTGGGATCTCATGATCAAAGTCATAGTAAGGCATTCGCGACAAGTGTCGTGATGACACTTCTGACTCATACGACCAAGATATGATATCTATGAATTTGGTTCGGTGAGAAAGATTAGGAAGGGTGGCTGCAGAACATAAGCTCCAGAAGCTGAAAATATTCATGTCAACTTTCAAGTCAATCTCCCAGCCTGTCATCGCCATGATCCGTATTTTGAAAGCTCGAAGCTCGAAGCTCCAAGTACCGAAAGTGGAAGTCGTTATACCGGTACATGATTCTTCGTTCTGTTATTACGGGATACAGTATAAAAATGAAGTACGATCCCGTGAAAGATTCCGTGGATGATGAGTCTTCAATCGAATCAGCCTATCAATATTCTCTGGTCTGACATTCTGATTGCGTGTTTCAAACTTTCGGGCCACTGAAAGTAAAATCTATCGTGATCGAATTATTCGGTGGTTGACACTACCGGTATTTCTTATAGACCGAAGCACAATCCCACGAAAGAAGCCAGAGTGTGCAAAAAGTGGTGGCAACGGTGTCATGCGTAAGATGAAGGGAAGACCGATGAAGTAGATATGTAGTACAGCATGAAAACGTCGCAGCCACACCGCTGTCTCCTGGAACGTTGTTGCTTGTGGAGGCTGTGATATTTAGATGTCAGATGTCAGTCATAGATTCCAGTTCGTTCTTTTTTGTGCCTCTTTTGTGCCTCTTTTTCCTTATTTAAGGAGTCAATGGAGATTATCTCAAATCGGACACTCTCTCATTTATCAAGATCGCTCTCAATACCTACTCTCAACACAAGTCTACTCAGCCATTTAAAGCCACAGAGATATATCGGCAGATCACACTTTCCTCCCCTCCCCCCAATCTCCATTGAACCCCGACCACATCACCATGTGTCAAAAGACCCGCAAAAACTACCACTGCACCCGCTGCAACACCCACCGCTTCGTCGGTCGCTACGATATTACCTATCGATGTCTCTATTGGAATTCTCGAGACAAGAATTGCCAATACGGAAGTATGCAACGCCTTGAACTCACCAAACGAGAAGGTTTATGCGAACAATGTCGGTACAATCCCCTGAGTTTGGGTTGGTAGTGAGGTGATGGTATGATGTTACTGGCTGGGAACGGAAGATTGAACGTATATGTATAATGTTGAATCTACGACGTGAAGTAACTGACATCGGAATGATGATTAATGGCGATCGGTTTAGTGATGCTGTGCGAGTGGATGGCTGGGAAAGTGTGTTTGTCTGCGCTGTGAATATTCTGATATTAGCAAGGCGGGAAGGAAGAGGGTAACGCTACTCGAGTATATGTGTGTTTTAAATCAAGCATCTAATTAATATCCATTGGCTTTTTTGTGTCATGATGGTATCAGTCTAGGAATAGGAGCAGAGGAAGGGGAAAGCAGACCAATTTTCATCTTGTATATGTATGTTTTTTGAACACTCCGATATTCTAGTCAAACCGGATATCGTCGATTACATAGCTACACATCATAAGGTTATACCGGTATTTACATCACTATACCAATCTATAGCTGTGTCTAATTTCCCAAGTATGAAATACACACCGATATATATCGTATAACACAAGTGAAACTTTCAACCCTAAAAATATCATACTCGAGTATTTACAAAACAATAAACATAAAGCTAAATCTGTATACATAAAAGGATTCCGCGATAGGGTTGAATTGGACATTGGAACTTCCTGTATGTATATTACTGTAGGTTACTTCAGTTTGAAGCAGGAATCATGAATGATTAAATGGCATTGGTATTAGCGAATGAGCGAGATATATACGAGTACAGTATTAGAACTTGTACTTTGTAGAGTAGAGTATCACGTAGGTACTGTCTTTGATGTGATACATCTTAACGTATACAGACACAATGAACCAAAAACAACACAAGTCACATCAATGACAATATCTAGCCAAAACATAGTAATTGAAAAAGATCCTTCTTTTCATCTTTTCATCTTTTCTTCAAGATAAAGCAAGCGCTTAAATGCAATCAACAACTGAAGTTTTATTTTGTATACCTCTTCTCTTGCCCTTCATACAAACAACTAGATACCCGGACCGCGACCTAGATATCTACTCTCCGAGTCTAATCTACAATTCACCATGTTTGATATCCTCCTTCCCGTTCTTCTCCTTCGACTTTCTAATCGCTTCCAGAATCTGCTCTTCACTCGGCATCTCATCATTCTTTCCCACCTTGAACATTGGTTTTCCTTCCTCTCCACCAAAATCAATCGTCGCATCTGCTTCTTCCGCAGTTGCAGTGCTGGTTTTCTTCGACTTCTTAGTTTTGGATTTCGATTTTGATTTCGATTTCGTGCTTGATTTCTTTGGTTTCTCGGATTTGGGTCCGGTCTTGCGGGTTGTTTTGTAGGGTTGTTCCATGCTCTTCGTGATGAGTTCTACTGCAAGACCCTGCAATTGTTCCGTCTTTTCCGCAAGATCTTTGATGAGAATGACAGGATCAGCGGTAGCGGCAAGTTTTTCTTGTTGCTCTAGGAGTTCCGATAGCCATTTGGAAATGTTATCGAAGAGTTCTTGAGGGCCGACGAGATCGGCATCACTGTAGATAGGTGGGTCCATGGTTTCTTCCTCGGGAGGGGCAGTTACTGTTGAAGATGCAGAACCGACAACTTCATCATCTTCAAGATCGGCGAAATCGTCAACAGTGGCTGTGGAAGTCGTCTTGGGATTGGCTGATGCGCTAGATTTGGAGGCGCTGAAGGAAGAATGGGCTTCTGTTTCATTTTTGATTTGTTCTTTGATACTCGCAATGATAGATTTGGTTTGTTCGAGGGCTTCGTTGAGAGATTTCAAATGTTTAGGTCGGCCGGCGGTTTCTTCTCTTCTCTTTTCGATTGGTGTTACGATGTCTTTCATTTCCTTGAGTTTGGCTTTGAATTCATCACGGGAGGCATCGGTACCACCAGAATAGATCCATTCACTTGCGGCCTTGGATTTATTCTCTAGGTCTGAACGTTCGGTTTTGGTAGATGCGGCGACAAATCCTTCGTTATCGAGTAAATCTCTTGCCTTATATGTGAAACCCTCTAATTGGTTCAAGGCTTCTTCACGTAGACGACGAGACCGGTCGGAGTCGTCGAATGCAGCAATTCGATTTTTCATTCTAGTGATTTCGGAGGCTGGAACTTCTGGGATGCCCTTGAGTTGTATTTCGTACTTCAATGGGACGACGATCAAGGTCTTCTTGCTCTTGGTAGCCTCCTTAGCTGAAGGGGAAGCGGAAGCGGAAGCGGAGGAGCTACTAGATGATGAGGTGGTACTGGTAGAGGTGGTAGAACTTTCCGTGGTGCTAGAGCTGTCAACTGATTCTGTATCATCCTCTGATAATGGTGCCTGGTCTTTCTTCCCGAATCCAAAAAGTCCCTTGACGCTATCCACCATACTTTCCTTCTCTCCCTCCTCAACCTCACAATCAACGACGAGTTTCATAATCTCCATTTCGCCATTAGCAGGACTGACACGAGTCTTCAGTTGAACTCTGATATCCTTGTTCTCGCAATGGTGCTTATCTTTGAGAAGAGCTACAGATTCGGTCAAATTTTGAGTAGTGATGGCTTTCAACTGTTTCTCTGCAGATCCTGGTGATACATTCTCTGAAGATGCAACATGTTGATAGAAGTCGATGGTAAAATCCTCGTGATTTTCGAAAGTAAATTGCTTCACGGAATTCAGATTGGTGATTGGGTGTATCAATCTTTGGTGTCTACCCTTGTTGTGTATATCTAAATATTTGATACCAGCCGCATAAGAAGCACCGTCATAGCTTCGAATTTCCTTGACTCTGAACGAAGGGCTGAGTCCAGCACCTCTAAATCCAGCACCAAAAACAGCGGCCTCATCGGCATTAACATTGGTGCGGATCTTGTCGGAACTTCCCACAATCTTCTCAAGTTCTTTCTGCACAAAAGGAGTTCTGATGGCACCTCCGTGAAGGATAATAGAATCAATATCCTTGACCGCGAGATCGACCAGGTCCAAAGCCTTCTCAATCACTACACCAACTCGAGCAGCGTGAGCTTCGGCGATCTTCTCGAACTCCGCCCGGCTGATCTTGTATTTGAAGTCAACATCTTCGTAGAGTCCTTCAAAGCTAGCTTGCGCATTGGAATTGGCACTGAGAATTTGTCTGAGACGTTCGGCTTCCTTCCACAATTTCGCAGCAGCTCTTCCATGTGCCTGGACCTTCTCGGCAGTCGCTGATACCTTTTGTGCTTTCGGAGATTCGACAAATTTGGCAATCATATGATCGACGATGATAGCGTTAAGAGAATCACCTCCAAGTGTTCTATCCCATCCGCTGCCAAGGACTTGGACTTCTTGGATGGTCTTGTTGAGTTTCCCGACGTCCTTTACCGTTCGTCCTTGAAATTTCAGAATTGTAGCCTTTGTAGATCCGGCTCCCATATCGAAAACCATATGGTATTCCGGCTTTCCTCCTTCGCTAATGCTTGGAAATGTTCGGGATGTAGCGTAGTTGAGACCGACAGCCAATCCATCACTAATCAATTCCAAAACTCTAAGGCCAGCTAAATCGGCTGCCAAGAGAACAGCTCTTTTTTCTTCCGTCGTGTAAAATACTGGAACCGTAATAACCAAATCCTTCACTTGGCTGCCTGCTAGAGCTTCTGCGTTTCTTGAAATGCTCTGCAATTCCATAGCTAATATCTCCTCGACGGACCATGGCTGCTCATCTGCATCAAAGGCGCCGCTGCGGAAAGCTGCCGTACCTCGTGTCTTTTCCACCTCCAACTGTAATGCCGGATGCCGAATCCCATAATCCTTGACAATGTCGTTTTCTGTCGTTAACCCCAAGAGAGGTTTGAGGTTAGGATAAACATCTCCAGGAAATCGTGCAGCCAAAGCCACTGCATCTGAACCGTAAACTCGTTCTGGGAATGATCCGCTGATTGGATTTTTCGAAGGCTTGAAAGCTACGGCGGATGTTTCTTTTCGTCGAGAGTCTTTTGTGAGAACAATTTCAAGTGGTATACCAGGTTTCACGAGGGCTGCCTTGATGTATTCTGTCCCAAGATCAACACCTAAAACTGCCGATGCAGCCAGTGCTGTGGAAGTGAAGATATAAAATAAACAAAATATGGTAAGAATTGGAGAAGAAAATATCTTTCCAGTAAAGCTCCGCGAAGAAGTAGCCATCATATGTGGTGGTGTAGCAAGCTTAACTATCTCAATGAATGAAGCAGGGAAATAAAATCGAGGGGGGAAAGATGGGGGGGATAAGGACAAAGAAATATATATCTTTTGAAACTACAGTAGTAATAAGTAGTCTGACGGAATCTGTCCACAACAACAATTCAAAATCAAAGTTTATACATAGACATAGACAGTAATATGATTTTAAATACAATAATAATATATACCTAGGTAACTCTTGTCTTCTTTAATTTACTTTTCTCTTCATAACAAGTGTCCTTTTCTTTAAAGTTGTTAATTACCAAAAGAGGACAGCTTTACAATAAATCTTTAGATATCAGTCGATAAGATGTGTTATCTAATAAGATAAGTGTGATAAGGTACCTACAATAACAGAACCTCCGACTCTCCAAACCTCCGATCCTCCGACATCTGGAGGTTCCTTTAACTCTACAATTAATCTTCATTCCAAGAAACTTACTCATCTGAACAACACGATTGAATGATTCAACTCTCTTTCAAACAAAAAAAGTACTCTTGAAACGGAACTGCGACTACAACTACAATTGAAACTATTACTACAATCACAACTTCAATCACAACTACAACTACAATTACAACTTCAATCACAACCCTCTAACAAAGATTCCTACTGTCTCTACCCTCCTGCCACTTATCTGCCAGTTAAGCCTTCACCTTTCTCCTTTCACTGCCAAACCTTTATGACCATCAAAAGCTACCAGTAACACCATTCATCATTTTGCATATCATTGTGCATATCCCAAGGCTTCCTCTATTCAACCTGCCTATTATAACCATAGAACCGGATTTAATCGACAGCAACCCCTCTTCTACTTTGATATCAATCGCAACTCGTCCCATATACTTCAACTTATACAAAATTACCTATCCACCAAAAAGTCCAAAAGTACCGCTTCATAATGTCTGCAACTCCTTTCATCCAATATCTAGGTCCTACAAATCTTGATGGATATGACCGCAAACGCCCCGCAACAGAGCAACCCGATAATATTCCCAAAACATTCCTAGACGCAATGGAAGTTCGAGAAAGTGTCTTCGTTCAAGAGCAAGGCGTTCCTCTCGAAAATGAATTCGATTCTGACGATCCTCGAGCTTGTCACTGGGTCATTTATGCTTCAGTGAACGAAACCATCGATCCCGAAGTTAAAGACGATGTTGGGAATATACTACAGAGAAAGAAAAGTAGAACTACATCCCAACCCATTGGTACAATTCGCCTTGTACCATTTCCTCATCCACCACATCCTGAACCAGGGTCGAGCTATCATGCCGATGCGCTTGAAACCGCCTCGACGTCCGACGGTACAAACCTACCACCCTACATTGTCGATCGAGCAACCACATATCATGATGGAGTGGAGCCATATATAAAGTTGGGCAGAATTGCAGTTATCAAGGAGTGCAGAGGTGCCGGTATCTCTAATTTATTGGCAGGAGCGGCTATGTCGTGGGCCCAACAAAACCCCTCATTCTTCAACCCCTCTATCGCCACAATAGGGATGGAAAATATGGGAGCTTCGAGTACAGAAGAAATACCAGTATGGAAAGGTCTGATGTGTGTTCACGCACAGGAACAGGTTGCGCTCGCTTGGGCTAAGTGGGGGTTCAAAATCGACGAGGGAATGGGGACGTGGGACGAGGAGGGAATCAAACATGTGGGAATGTTCCAAAGGGTGAAAACGGTCAACATTGCACCTGCCACGATATGATAGGGATATGATGAGATGGATGAGAGATACCCATGTAGCGGCGGTAGGGGCAATGAGAAATAACGAATTTACGATAGATGAAGTGGGTAATGAAGCATCTTTTGAATTGTCACAGTATATCTCTAATTTTCTCTTGAAAGTTCAACTGATAACATTTCTCTACCACATTGTTCGTGTTCCTGTTGGGTACGCTATCGGGTCTTCACCAACTCGGTGATTGGTACAATGATTAGTAACTCGTAGTACTCTTCCCTATTTAATCGTATCAGACAATTCTTCTAGAGTTTTGGTATAAGGTCTGTCTGAATCTATCAGGTGGGCAAAGAGTTGCACAATATAACCTTGGACTTGCATGTATTCTCGTCCTTGACGCCCTTTACTTTTGCAGCAAAACATTGAGATTTCTTTAGATGTCAAGTAGTGGTTAGTCTACTGATGTTGTTTGAAGCACTCTTTTTCCAGATCTATCGGACTACCTATGCCCGGAGATTCATTCGCACAACATAGTGAGCACACTGCCTTACAAATCGGATCGTCTATAGCTCCGGTTTCTAGTGAAGAGATGGTGGTTAGATAAGACGTGTTGAAATTTACATTCATTTTGAGACTACTAGGTATCCGTATCCACCTAGTACTATGATACATACTATCCGTACTGAAACAAGGGCTACTTTATTAATAAATTTCTTCCCATACGATTATATTCAATCTTGATCATCATATTACCATCATATCATATAGATAGTTACATAGACTACCTAATTTGATGCTGCAGCCTCTTTCATCTACTCGAGTACATTCATTCCCCTTTCTCGTCTATAAAGCTTCGCTTCGCTCCTGTATCTCTCATCCTCTCTTTCTCGCTCACTCTCTCTATCTCCGACTATCTCCTAATCTAACTTTAGTACTTGTATAGATAATACCTCGGGAAACGGGAATAAACATCCCCATGATATGATCCATCAAAGCCCATATCAACACTCACTCACTCAATCACTCCCGATTGTGAAGACGTCCTTGACTAGTACTAAACTTACGTTTGGGGTTATATGATACTCAAACACTGGACCCTCACGGTGGTAGTGCTTGATGTCAGCTAGCCTAGTGGTAAATGCACTCATACTTTTATCCATATTATTCCTCTCAAAACTTTATATATATAGACTCTATGCATCGTTTGGGATGGTGCTGATGATTGGCTGAGAGATTATGCTCGTATGGCCAGTGTCTATGGGGGTTCAAGTCTCAACATAGCTGCGACTGGAGCATAGAATGGTGACGACGGCTTGTTCTTCAACAAGAACCCGAACCCCGTCAGAGGGCGGATCTAATGGCCTCTGTCGATTAGGGTTGAGAAAAACGTAATTATATAATCTTAATGTAAAGCAAAAATTCTGCTTTATATAATAATCATGCTCTCAATATATAATGCGTTTGATCACGTGTAGAAATGATGATATATTGAACTAATTAACCTCGTCGTCGCCCCTTCTGACCTCGTCGTCGCCCTCAAAATCAACTATATCATCTTCAATATTGATAAAGTTGTGGTATTGATAAATATCATGATATCTGGGTAGGTAGCCTTACTTTTTGATATCTAGTGATAGTGAGATTCAATTTTTTAGAGCTCTCTAATTGGTCAATATATATCACGTGAATTTCATATAATATAATAACGTATAATCATGCTAGCATCGATATATATTGCTTTGGACCAAATATTTCTGAGAGAGAAGCTAATGCGGATGGGTCAAGACCCGCTTGAATTGCGTGGACAAAATGTACAGGTGAACCTGTCTAAATTCACCATTACTCGTATTCCGAAGAGAATGGTCCTCCTTGGCAACCTCTGATACCCACTTCCCTCTTCCAGAAAAGAAAACAAACCCAGATGAGGAAGGAATATTCACTTATTCCGTAATAGATCATACAGTCAACCGATCAGAACTACACAGACTCCCCAGGATAATCGATGGAAAAGCCTCATGCGTGAGGTGTTATCACGCGCCTGTGTGCAGTCCAAGTTGGACTTAATGTATAAAGGATCGTCGTATCTATTACACAGCCACACCTGATTACTCACAATTTTTCAATCAGGATCTACTCATACCGCCAGAAAGTCTGTAACTCGGGAAGTCAAAGATTAGGCTATTCCAGTTTATCCAAGTTACAGAATTTCTGTCAGCATGAGTAGATAGACTAAATGAGATAAGATAATCGTAGTTGATCAATCTTATCACAGATATTGACCAATTATCAGCTTAACAAAGATGACGCGAACATATCGCCGTATATATCAATTGTATGTCAAAGAGTATCTGAAGTGCAGTATCTCCACAGATCTTGATAATCGTAGTCGCCAAATTTCTATTCTTTACTACATGTATTTAGTTGTTTTGCCATTTCACATAAGGAACATTATATTAAAAATAGTGCTCGGTGGTGCAGATATCCATAATCTTTCGATTTCGGTGGCACATGCAATGGTCGGATGGGGGTGTGAGATTCCCAAGGTGGCTAATGACAAGTAGTAGTGGTTTAGAGGCAGGAGTCATGGGCTCCTCCCACCCGACGGTATACCAGTGAATAAACAATGGAGTCATGAGAAATAGAGTTAGTGGGGGATTCCACGGGATTGGTCCGTACATACATAACCTTAGTACTTATACTACTTTGGTACTTTTCTGAGCTATTGTTAGTGGATACTAAGAGAACATATTATATAGCGAGAAATGGACAGAAACAGTGTGACGCGAGAAGAAAGTTGAGAATACACACAGATTTCTGGAGATAGTGTATATGTTGTTATTCTTTGAACATATGAAAATTCGAACATGGTTGAAGCAAGTTCTTAAGAAGATGGAGAAGAATATTTGTCGCTCCAAAACTCAAATTTCAATTGCCTCGATATCCCATCGCAAGTGCTGTGAAAAAGGAAATTTCCAAAGATGCAAAGTAAAAAGTCCCCAATATAATACAATCTGGAAGTATCAACTCCTGATTTAACATCCCAATATTTCCAAACAGCGGGACTTGCCCAGGTATCAATATATAATGCACGACAATCCAGACAATATTCCTTCCTTCCTTCACCATCAGAGTAGTCATTATCTCCTAAGTACCCTCAGAGTTGATAATATCTCTCCCATTCTCATCCTTCCTCTTGTTAAACAAACTCAACACACTTCCCCTTCTCGCTTCTCTCGGAGACCCTTCCGACTTCCTACTCGATACTCTTTGTAGAGTATTATCGTGTTCCTCGTCACCATTAGGATCCGACCACACACTCAAGATAGATCCCTTTCGTAGTTGAGTAGGACTGCCACTTTGAACATTCTTGGCTTCATGGTGAGAGCCCATAAAAGCAGTGGTGCTGATATTTGCGAAAGGCGTGGAGCGTCGTCGCTCGCGGGTCGCCCAAGTGTCGCGCTCGTGGGTGGTAGTGGTCCAGTCTTGTTCGAAGTCATCGAACGGAGAATCCAAATGAGCGGAGGTATTTGTAATGGTCCTCTCTGGATTAAATATTAGTTTCTGAATTGTTGATGAGCATGAAAGATTGGGTGACATACTGAGTGGTGAGTCGATGACCTGGCTATCAAATGGGTCTGTGAATCTGGAACTTTGCTCGTCGACAGTGTGAACTTTAGGATCCATGATGTGTATCTGGTTGTTTGTAAAGCTGTTTGGATATCGAATGTATTTGTGATATCGTATGGTTTATGATCTGTTGGGTGATCTATAGATTTCATTCAAACTGAAAGGGTGGTACATGACCTCTTTATATACTTGGTAACTTGATACACAACTACCTTGAGGGGCTGAGTCAATCTCACAGTGAGATTAACTTAGAATCTCACTTGATCCGGATTGATCATCTCATCCCATCTCAGCAAACAAGGTCTAGACGTCATGCTAATTATGATAGTCAACGTCGACATACCGGTAGAGTTTTGAGGATCGACGTTCTAACGAATCATGAGATATGAACCACTGAGCCCTGATTATTTAACCCTGGGTAATAGCTTCATGTGAACCTATCAAAAGGTGGCTGTGCCCATTGCTCATCAAGAATAACTCCCGTTGGTCAAAGCATGTGCTGGGTGGCACAAGCATGCAAGCGAGACGAATATATGACCCAGGAAGTTTACTTGGCTTTTATCACGCTGCATTATACAGGCATGTGTGCCTTGACTTCCCCAGAATTCGATGCAAGTGAACCCAAATATTCCTACAATGCTCACCTCACCGCTTGTGAAGATAGCATGTTCTTCCTGGCTCAAGTCAATGAAGCTATGTCAATATTAGAATTGTTCTATGAGAGAGAGATTGATGATGGGGAAATCGTTATCGATTTGCACAGACAATTTACTTAGCCAATTCGTGCCAAGATTGATCTTCCTTACACGCGTCTACTGTTGACATTCAACCGGTGTATGTACCCAATCCATCAATGTGAACTCCGATCACGGTAAGGTCTAAGAATCACTACAAACAATACTATGAAGCACGGGTAGATGGATGATCAAATTAGTGTTTTTGGATGAAGTTAAATTTGCCACCCCGCGCATCATTTCCCCGCATTGAGTGGAGCATTCTTTAAATATGGTTACCGAACTTCCCTCAAAACTCCTGGAGTCCTCAAAATGTACGAAAAGCAACACATAAAATTCCCTTCCTCAATTATAACATACTCATGTCGCCAGAAAGTCCGCAACTCGGGAACTAAAGAAACTAGGCTACTCCCTTGTAGTTTACCATCATAGGGTACGTGCTGGTTTACCCGAGTTGCGGACTTTTCTGGCGGCATGAGTAGGCAAAATGATATGTTGATCCTTTCTAGATTGGATCATAATGTTAATCCTTTCAGTTTGGTTCACACAAGCTCCATGTCATGTAGAAAGGGGTTAGCAGGGGTTAGCAGAATACTGTGCAGTTTGGTTTGTTGAGCAAATTAGGGTACCTTATCCTCTGAGTGCGTTATATCTACCTGTTCAAGGAAGCAAATCAAAGTAACTTCCTGTTTGGTTACCCCATGGGGGTCATTTTTTGTGGACAAACGCTTGATCTGTATCTATGCAAATTTAGCGTCGTTTGAACCTGTTGCATTTCAGGAAAATCCTGGCTACTTTTGCATGGTGCATCTTTGCGATAGCCAGTTCAGTTCCATTTGATCTGCATGCCGTATTTTCTACTACGAATGGATGACCGATGCCAATGGTTGCGGGATACTCTGGCGCGGACAGCATTTCGGATTGAGGTTCAGATGATATCTTGTGTAGGTCTATGTCTTGTGACAGTATTCCGAAGGTCGTGGCTCAGTAGGCCAGCCGTCTCGGTAAAACAATCATGCGAGGTAGCACAACGGGGATCGGAAAGCTCGTAATAAAGGGGTACTAGCCAAATAGGCGAGTGGTTTGGCGTGATTTGGCCTTCCAATTGACTCAGTTAATGACTTAACCCGTTGCCAAGTGTTAGACTTTCTGTTCCTAAACTCAAACTCCCAAGGTATACACCAGAGAGAGTATGATTCGGAAGAAACGGCAACCAGATGGCGAGTGGTTCCATCCCCTTTGATGCCCGTAGAGATATGACGATGTAGCAATGGGGAATACAAAAATCGTCAAAGTCTCATCTAGTGTCGTTATCTACGATCTTCAGTACGGTGATACCGATGAGGGGATGGATGCCTCAAAAACCGGAAATAGTTATTAGCGGAGCCAAGTCGATGCCGATCTCGCTAATGTCTACAACTACATATTGGAACATCATTAGACGGGATCGCTTGGCGAAGCCAATTGCTGCCAAGCACCAGCTATTCGTTACTTCGAGGGTAGCCCTGAGTTTGGTGACTTAGACCTCCAAATTTACCTCTCGTTACGACTGGAATTTTCTGCCAGGGAATCCTAAAAGTACACAGTACCTGTAATAACTATCTTCTTGTCTTAGATCTCAATTTCAACTCTGACTTCTGGATGAATATTAAAGCTTGAGCTCAAGACCAATTAGCCAAAAAGGCAAATGCAATATATTGGATGATGGATGCTGATTGAGACCTGTCTAGATCTCGGTTCATATCGTCAAGCGTGTTCTAGAAGATGGCGGGCCTCACAAATTGACTGATCATAACCTTCTGATGGGGCCACCTTCAAGGAAATCTCTTCGATTGAGAGACTAGGAGACTGCGAAGTATCATTGCTCGCGAGTGTCTAGTTTTTGCAAAGGAGATAGGATACCATCATGGTAGATCAGGCGAAGTATTCATCTAAGAGTGTGTGTGTCATTACTCGGGTCTTGCGGAGCAAAAACTAAGTGCAGTGGAAACTCCTTCCTCCAGTATGCCAGAGAATACAAAACCGATGGAAAAGCCCACGTCGGCTTGTGGTAAGTATGCTACAGCTGCGAAAGTTCTAAGATTGGGGGCAATAACTAGCACGGACGATGATCAAATGAGAAGATGCAATGGCTGTTATAGATGGGAGTAACAACTGCGCAAGGGGGTGGAAAACGATGTCCCGCTTATTTTGGATGGTGGCGTCATGTCATTCGTTTTGGTAGGCAAGACAAAAGAAATTGAGGTGATTATGAATGAGGATATCGGAATGTGCTCGCGTAGGATGGTTCAACTAATGAAATGTACTACTCGAGTACATTTCAAATGAATGTAAGAAGCGGTTGAATGACTAAAACAGAATTTCAAGCTTGCGCGCACTCTCTGAGTTATTGTCACGGGTTCACTAAACGTGACTACCTGCATCTATCTGCACTTATCTACATTTACCTGCACCTACTTGTACCTATCATGTACCTACTACCTATTACCAATTAACTCGAATAAATGCCTTAGGCATCTATTCATTATATAGTCAGTGTTGCTTTATGTGCTTTCTTTTCTCTTTATCGAATATTATATAACATGGTTTATCAGTGGGTCGGCCACTTTTACCTCGATTTATTACTTCAAAGCTATATTATTCAAGAACAATTTAATGAATCGATTAAAACTGTTAATAATCTAATAAACTAGGATCTATTACATCATTCTGACAAATTCTTGAATTATAACTAGTCTTTCCACACTTGCTACAGCATCGACTAGTAGAAGATTCCCTATTAGAATTTCTCCCATTTTGATGTTCATCACATCAAATCTGAATCTCTACCTCTTGTTGTGATAATATATCCTCAGTTTCCTGTCCAGTAAGTATTTTTCTATTCCATAGTTGAACTTTTTTAACATATCGATATTTGTTTAATACTTCATTTGCTTTTCGAAGTATACGATTCTCTGTATTTAAAAGTGTAACTTTATGAGCTAATCGTTTTGTACCCTTAGCCAAAGCAGCTACAGTCTCGAATATAGGTGTAGGAGAGTTTGATTGATGTTGAGCAATTCGAGATCTTACTAAAGTCGATTATGAAAAAGCTTCAATTGGATTATGAGGTGTTTGAGAGACTCAAGAATCGGCAGATTCCAAGGGAATGGGTAAAGGGGTAGGCGTACGAATTCGAATATCCAATTTCGAGAGCACAGCTTGAGGGTTGAATGATATTAGTCCTGTTCCTTGAAAGCCAGCTTTCATATTCTAAACTGTAATCGATTGATTGATTGATTGATTTAATTTTCGTCCGTCTTCAGTCTAAGACTATATAGGACGGCTAGACCCTATAGGCACTAGCAGATAACTTGTTATTTTACAAAAATAGATATGTTCGATTTGGGGAAGTGAAAACAAATGCTGGGGACCAATGCCCGCTTATTATACGCGTTGCATATAATAAGAAAATATGAATATCAAGGGTTATAAGAGGGTTACCCCTCTACCCTCTCTTTCCTCCACTGCTACTTCTTCCTCTTCCACTACTGCTACTACTTCTTCCTCTTCTACTACTTCTTCCTCTTCCAC